CACCACGACGGCGTCCTGGACGGCCCGGACGGGGACGGACGGACCCCCACACCCCGTGCGGCCGCGCGCTCGCTGCTGGGCTCGGCCGTATCAGTCCACCCCATTATCTTGTCAAAGCCCTAATCCAATAGCAGCGGCGCAGCCAGCGCAGCAGCCCGCCGTAAATGGGAGTGCGTTAGTGTGCGTTAGGCGGCGGTGAGAGGAGGGGAGGGGGGGGGAGGGGAGGGGAGGGGGAGTGCGTCCCGGCAAAGACGGGCGAAAGCAATGCGCACACCCTTTCCAAGTCCAAATTTGGCGTCGCGCCGAGAGCGGGCGGCGCGGGCCACCAGACTGCAGCAAAGGGAACATCTGCTCTCCACGCCGACACCCCCTCCCCTCCCCTCCCCTCCGCCGAAAGGGCGACTTTGTGTCTTCGCAAAGCCGTTCAATTATGTCTCCTAATCGGCGAGTGCATTGTCGCCTTGTTCAAACAATAATCGTCTCCCCTTGGCGGCCAGGGCCTCGGCGACCAGCGCCAGCAGCAGCGTGCTCGCCCTCGCCTTCGTCGTGGTGCTGGAGGTGGCCGTTGCTGGAAGTGAGACGTCGGTGCCCGTAACGCCCTGGGGCTTCGGGGCGTGGCGGGGCGTGGCGGGCCGAGGCGCCGCAACATTTTTCATGAGCTTTCCACACCTCGCAGAGCAAGGGCCGGTGCCGCCCACGCACACCGCCCCGGGCAACAAGGGCCGCCCCGGCCGCCCCGGCCGCCCAGCCAGTGTAGTACCTCGTGTTGGTGCCTCACCTGCCCGCTCCGCTGAGGCGCGCCGCACCTCGGGGCGATTGTTTACACTGCAACGGTTTTAATTACGTAGAGCCGCTGAAGGGCTGTAACTCATCATCTCTGCCCCCCCCCCCCTCGGGGCGGCGGGCGGGAAAATGATCTCGTGCCGCGCTCACGAGGCGCGCATGATCGCGGCGAACTCGACAAATCGCAGAAAACGCGACTCTTTTCGCGCCTTTTTGTGAAGTGTTTACCTTCCAATTACCTCCAAATGCGGGTGGGTCTGCCCGTCGTCCGGCCCGGGGGCGGTTGGGCCCGGTAGTTAACGCCGGCCTGACTTTTATTTGAATCGTTACGCCCCTGCCAGTGGCGTGCCGGGCTCTGCCCTGGCCGTGCCCGGGCCGGGGCTTCTCTCACTCCGAGTGCCCTGCCTGCGGCCGTTTGCTGCCGATGGGGCTCCCGACGGCCGACGGGGCCCTCTACGGGCAGGGCGGGCAGGGCTGACCCCACTCACATCACCTCGGGGCTCGGCCGGCTCGGCCACCGCCACGCCCCCAGAGGTGCCGAAGGTGGAGGCCCCCGGGCCGCCGCCACCCCCAACGCCCCCAACGCCCCCAACGCCCCCGGGCCCGGGCTGCGGCTACCGAACGCTGTGGGAAACACGCTCCATTCATGGCCGTGCTCGTAGGGCCCCGGCAATAGTACTGTACGTCTAACCGGGCGAGCTCGGTGAGGTAACATGACTCCTGTGCGTGCGTGTGTGCGTGTGTGTGTGAGTGTGTTTGCTACTGCGGTAGAGGATGAGCCGGGATACAAAGAGGGAAAAAGGAAAGTTAGGGATCCGGCGGGGCGAGGGGGATCCAAGGTGTCGCTCCGGCGGACACACGAGTACCGTCAAGTGAGCTAATACAAACACACACTCACACACACGCACACACACACACACGCACACACACAAGAGCACGGATCCTCCTCCCCGCTCAGGTAAAGATATACCAACTGTATACACTTTATGTGTGTGTCTGTGTGAGTGCGTGCCCGCAAAAAGTCCACCCCATCGCGCGCATGTGTGAGTGAGCGTGCGTGTGTGTGAGCGTATTATGATCTCCGGAGCTCCTCGGGGTCGTTTCCGCAAATACTCGGGCGACACCCATCCCCGTGCGCGGTGCTGCGGGCCAGCGCGTCTCCACTGTGAATAGGGGAATGGAGGCTGCAACGCTGCAACCAGAGATGGCCCCTCAGCGAACCCCGCCACACCCTGCCTGCGCATAACCACCGCGGTTTCAAGGATCAAAGTAATTTTTTCATGACCGCAATTTCAGTTGAGGTCCACGCCTGCGACCCCATCTACTGCCCTCCCCCCACCGCACAGTGCGCGTGTTTGTGTGAGTATGTGCGTGTGTGTGCGTGACGTGGCGCTTGAGATTTCAGGCCTAACTCCCGTGCCAACAGCAGCCGAAACAGTTTGGCCGTGTTTTGTTTGCCCCTGCCCCGCCCGCTCCCTCCCCCTTGCTGTCAAACACAGAGGCCGCGGCGGGGCCGGGGCGGCTCGGCCGGGCTCCGCTATTTGGGACGGGCAAATATTGACTAAACCCCAACCCTGTTGCTCACCACCAATTACGAGTCAACGAGTCAATTCGCGAGCCAGTTTGGCCAACCTGCGAACGAGTAACGAGGTGCATAATCAACCCGGCGGCGGCCGACCCGGACAAAATGTCTGGTATAATGTCATCCCGTTCGATTTTCCTCTCGTGTGAGGGAAGAGTGCACAGAGACGTGGAATCACAAGGCTTCTTGAGACTCCATCTGCCCTCGCGCCGGGCGGATAGGCAACTAGTAGGCAACCAGTGGGGCAACCGACCCGCGGTGCCAAGCTAACCAACCACGCGGCGCAATCGGGCGATCTGACGATGACGAGTTCATATTCCTCGCTATCCTCCCCCACCTGTTGGGACGTATCAAATCGCAATGTAAATATTGGCGCGCAGGGCGTGGCGCGGCGGGGGGAGGGGGGGAGGGGAGGGCTGGGGGTCACCGACAATGCCGCGAGCGCGGCGAAGCGCGCCGAAGCGTGGATGCAGTGGAAGACCCCAGTCATCGGGGCACAACGCCACAATAGCCGCAGGGGGAGGGGGAGGGGAGTGGGGAGCAAGAGGGGTCCGCAGTATCATCCCCTCGACGGCTGCGGCGTCGCCCGGCGATGCCTGCGGCCTGGCTAGGCCTGGCCGGGCCGCCCCGCCACCTTTTCTTGATCCGCACGGCTGTTATCCAGTTTCACGGCGAACTGGGGAACCTTATCGAGTTTAAGAACAAATTATGGAGCCCGGTGCCACCGAGGCGAGGCGAGGCGCTGGCCGCAGGCCGCGCGGCCCCGCCGGCCAGTGGGCCAGACAATGCCGTGTGTGGACAACGGCGGTTGCATGGTGCTATGGTGCTATACCACGCCGAGCATTGTGATCCCGGTCCGTCTGTCTGCCCGTCCGTCTGTCTGCCCGTCCGTGGAGCCGGTACACCTCGGCAGCACCGCGCAATTTGCAGCCCGACTGTGATTTATCGCGTCTCATTGCAGGATGCTGCGGTGCTGCGCGGTGCTGCGAGCGGGCCGGCCCTCTGGAGAGGCAAGGCAGCCTCCAACCCTCCAGGTCCAGCCATCCAGCCGCGGCAGTCCGGCAGGCGGTGCGCACACTGGCCTGGCGACGGCATGGCGCCACGCCGACGCCCACTCCGCGGCCGCCGCTTCGCCGCTTCGCTCTCCGTTCCCACGGCGGGGCCTTCCTTCGTCTCCTCTCCTCGGCCAGCACGGCCAGCACGGCCTCCTCCCGGTGATGTTCATTGGCACCGAGCTGCGCCGCGCCGCGACCAGCAAAACTGGACTGGCTCTGGCTCCCTCGCTCGGGCCGCAGGGCCACGCCGGGCCGCCGGCCGTGGCGGGAGCCGGGCTCCTTGTGACTTATGACCACGTTTGTTTATGTAGCGGGGAGGGGAGGGGGCAAATGACTGGACTGTACCGCAGGCACGGAGCAGAACGAATAACCAGCGGCCCACAGTGGGCCAGAAGACCGGCGGAGGCGGCCAAAACTCCCACCGGTCCGCCAGCCAGGCGGCCAGCAAGGCGCCGGGTAGGCAAGCCCGCCGAGCACCAGTGCGTTACGGGCCGGCCTACCCGGCACGGCTTTCGCCACGGAATCCTTTGGGAGGGGCGCCGGTGGGGCAAGGAGAGGAGGGGGAGGGGGAGGGGCCGGCCATGTCGGATGCCAGCCCATGGCGTGGCGGGGCCACGGCGCGGCGTGGCATGGCGTGGCACGGCGTGGCATGGCGTGGCACGGCGCGCCCGCCGTATCGAGCAGCATCGTAAACTCGCCACACTTTATGCTGCACTGGGGCTGGCTGGGGCAGTACTTGGGCACACGAGCTGCGTTCTGCGCGCGCGCGCGCGTGTGTGAGTGTGAGTGTGTGTGTGAGCGTGCGTGTTGGCGTTTTCTCACAGGGTACACGACGCCTTATACCTCATATCGTTCCCCCACTCTCTCTCGCCGCCGCTACCATCTTCGATGCGCGTCTCGGACGTCTTCGGCGTGCCGGGGCTGGCGGGGCTGGCGGCAGGCAGGGCTGCCGGGGCGAGGCGAGCGATCTCACTCAGTCACTGCACGGCGTGCTCGCGGCGTGGCGGCGTCGCGGAGCAGTATTTAGCCCGGCGACAGTATCAAACGCAGATCGATTACCCGTCGCGGAAAAAACACGCGGACCGCCCTCCCCTAATTCCACGCTGAGAATGGGTAACATTCGAGGCTCATCCCCCCCTCTTTTTCCAGTGTTGTTGGCGCGGCTCGGCACGGCGCGCCGCGTGATGTTCGCGGCTCAGCTCGCGCCTCGCCTCGCCGGCCAGGCCACGCCAGGCCACGCCAGGCTGGCCAATCCATCAAACCTAACAAACTGCCGCCGCTGCAGTGTGCTGGCCGCGGGTTCCCCGTCCACAGGGTTCCGCAGCACGCATGCGTGCACGGCGTGCACGGCGTGCAGGCGTGCACCGAGGGCGGCGAGGTTGGCAGCCCTGCGGCCTGCGGCACCCGCCTCCATGTTTAGCAAACTTCCACCGGCACCGCGTCGACGCGCTGTCTCTCTCGCACCCCCACGGCGCTCCCCACGAGTGCGAGAGAGACAGCAACTGCTGCACCGCGCGATGCGCGCGATTGCCTCACAGATGAGTGCTCCGCGCTCGTGCCTCCCCCTACAGTGTACTCACCGGTGTGCGTCCGCTTGTGGATCTTGAGGTTCTCGGAGCGCGCGAAGACTTTGCCGCAGCCGGGGAAGGGGCAGGGGAAGGGCTTCTCGCCCGTGTGCACGCGGATGTGGTTCACCAGCTTGTACTTGGCCTTGAAGGGCCGGCCGTTGCGCGGGCACGAGGCCCAGAAGCACGCGTGCGTGGTGCACTCGGGGCCGCCGACGTGCTCCACCGTGAGGTGCGTCACGATCTCGTGCATGGAGCTGAAGAGCTTGCCGCACTGCTTGCGCGGGGGCGGCGCGTCCGGCTCCACCCACTGGCAGGACAGGTCCTGGCGCACGGGCTGCCGCATGTAGCGGAAGAAGGCGCCGTGGTGCGGCGACATGGCGGACACCGCCGACGACACGGCGGCCGCGTGGTGGGCCGACATGGCGGACACGGCGGACACGGCGGCGGGGTGGTACGGCGACGTCTGGTGGTGGTACGCCGAGTGCGGGTGGTGGTCGCGGTGGTACATGGCGTCCATGCCGGCCGCCGCCAGCCGCATCTGGTGGTGGTGATGGTGGTGGGGGTTCAGGTGGGGGTGGTTGGTGAGGGACTGGTGGTGGTGGCCCGCCAGGTGGTTGTCCTGCAAGCAAACGGCAAACTTGGTTATCGCAGTGCAGTGGTAGAAAAACATACGCGCTGAACGCTCCCTAAGTTTCCCGCAGTTCCTGACGCTCATGCGAGTGGCGAGTTGGCGGGGGTCCGACCACAACCAAGACCCACCCGATCACCTCCTTCATAAAATGTTTCCCCCAGCCGTCCTATTCCGAAAGGTCATTTCTGCAAGATCCGCGCGGCGCCGGCACAAAATTCAGATCCGGGGTCGGCTTTCTAGTCCGGAAATGACGGGGGCTCGAGCAGCGACGCGCGACCACCCCAGAAAAAGTGTCCTTGAGAATCGACGAATTTGTGAAAAAGGCCTAATTCAGGCACGGACCGCGAATGGGGAATGGGAGCGACGAGTTTGTAAGCGACCAGTGCCCCTTCAGCCCCCTTTCGTCCTCGTCCACGGCTCGTTCGAATCGACACGAAATTGGGCGACCGGACCAAACAAAGCGTGTGGGCGCACTGCGGCGGCCCGGGCGGGGCGGGGCGGGGCCGGGCGGGGCGGGGCGTGTCGGGCCAGAAGGAATTGAATGGAGAAAACATAATTCTCCGCTTGCCAATAAATCGCCACGGAGCCCCGGCTGCCATTCATCTGCTGGAAAATACAACCAGAGGGGCGCATGATTCCATCCTCCAGCCGAGCCGAGTCCAGCCGCTCCAGCCGGGCCAGCCGATCGGACGCATTTTCCGATCGGCCCCCAGCCCAGCAGTTTGGCCGTCGACATCCAATCGAGTCGAACCGCGCGGCCATAGAACCCGGACGGAACTGGTGCGCCTGACAGGGTTATACCGACGCGGCCTGGCCAGGGCCTGGCTGGGGTGGCATGCTGATGAGGTCATAACCGTCCAATATTTAAGCCGAAATCGCGGCCGAGATCGCAGCGCGAGACGAGCGCCCCGCCCCAGGATGCACCGCGAACACGCAGACCGCGCAGCACTGCAGCGCCAATGAATGGTTCGTCTGCATTTCTTGGCGCAGCTGCACGTCGCAGCGAGCGACCCACCGAAGGAGTATCGGCCTTGCGAACTACACACACGTGTGGCAGCAGCGTGGATCGACGCGCAGGTGCAGGTGTCGACGGCGTCCTCCGTGACGTAACTGCCGCCAGATGGCGCTTCGTGAAACAAAGGCGGCAGCGGGTCGCTGATGGAGGAAGGCCGTGATAAGTGAATTTAAGACCCTTTAATCCCCGCCGCCGGGGGCGGTGGGGGTGGCCCTGTCTCTGTCGCACTCTTGGGGCGTTGGGGCGCGAGAGAGGCAGAGAGCCACTGTTGGGAGGCAGCCGGTGCGCGGAGGGCGGCGTGGCGTGGCGAGAAAAGAAGCATACAAATGTGAATCGCCCGGCCGTTCATCATTTTTGATAAACTCGCGCCGTCTCCTACACTGCGCTGGCACTGCCCTGGCGGCCCTAGCGTCCCGGTCCTAGCGTGGCCCGCCCCAGCGCTGCCCCCGCGCTGCCCTGGCCCGGACGGCGGCCGCCCGCGGCGCGGTGGGGCAGGCGGTGGCGGAGGGGCGTGCGGGGGAGGCGCGGCGACGTCGCCGGGGTAGAGCACACGCCACGCCGCGAGTAGAACACCGCCTCAGCCCCGGGCCGCACAGTGGGCGAGGCGGCGACGCGGCGTCTCTCTCGTAAAAAGCGCCATCTCTGGGGATATGGCCGAGGGATTCGCTCGCGGGGATCGCGGCGTTCTGCGACGGGAAATCCCCTCGACGGCGACGCGGCGGACGCGGGCAGGCCGCGAGACCCGCGAGGAGAGAGAGGGTCTCACGGTGGCGCGGCCAGCGCGGCCGGGCGCGGCCTGCATTATTCTAATGAGAGGCAAAACGGGCAAAACGACCGACAACGCGCTGCCCTCTTCCCCCACCCCTTCCCCCACCCCTCCCGCACACCCACGCCGGCCGGCCCCGGGCCGCCCCGGCAGGGGCAAACAGTGTGCTTGCCATGGAAATGCTATTACATTGTCTGGCCGAGGGTCTCAAGAGGGACTTCCCTCCCGCCCCGCCCAGATTTCGCCGCGACACATTTACGGCCCCACATTTTATTCTGTCATCAAATCGCGCAACGATATAAAAAAATAAGGAAAGGGTGGCCCAGCAGCGAGGCAGCGAAGCGTTTATCTCGGCGATGATCGTCGTTTTGACCCGCGCACGGCACTCATTTTCCAATTTCCGCGCGCAGCGACGTGTGTTTTTGTTGTTTCTTGTTTTTGTTCGCCGGCTTGATTAAATAAATTCCCCCGCGGCTGACGTGGCCGACGGCGGCGCGGCGGCCGGGCGGCTTTACTGGCCGGCGAGACGGACGCCGTCCTGGAGTCCTGGAGTCCTGGAGTCCTGGAGTCCTGGAGTCCTGGAGTCCTGGAGTCCTGGAGTCCACGGCGCGGCGGACGGACACGCGTGGTATCGGGAGCACGGCCATAAAAATGGCCGCCATCAAAGCCTGATCCGCAGGCGCCGGCCGGCCTGCCAGTGTGCTGCCAGTGGCCTGCCTCCGAAAGCCTCGCGAGCCGGACCGGACTGGACCCAAAACACGAAGCGAAACACACGCCGTGCGCGGACGAAGCACTTCGTCTTCGGTGCCAGGATTTGTAAATTATGGGCCGGTCAGTGCGTTATTTTTTTTACGCCGACATGTCAAAGCGACGTGCCATACAGTAACAGTCCGAAAACACAAGCCACCGCGCGAGCGCGCTCCTACAACAAACTCGCCCTTGATTAAATCTCACTGCCGCGAAAATAAAAATTTTTGCTGCGACCTAAACCGATTTTGGATTTGTGCCCTCTCGGTGGCCGGCGTGCCTTTCAACGGAGAGGCGCAGCACGCTGATTGAAAGGAATGAGATAGGCAACCGCCCCCCGCTTTCACGGCGAGAGAGAGGGGGAGAGAGAGGGAGAGAGAGAGAGAGAGAGAGAGAGAGAGAGAGAGAGAGAGAGAGAGGGAGAGAGAGAGAGAGGTAACATGAGGAACGGGGCGGCCGAACAGCAGCTTTCCATAAAGCGGTGGCAATAAAATAAGGCGCCATTGCCGTGCCCTGCGGCGGACACCCTCCCTCCCTCCCTCGGCCCGGGGCCCTCCGCGGCCCTCTCAGTGGCCCTCCGGGGACTCAGCCTGGCGCCCCTGGTAATGCGACAAGCCGCGCGCCCTTGTCTCCCTAACCCAGTCGTCGACAGCCTGGTGCAGAACAGAGAGGGCTCCGTTCAAGGCCGCCAAGTAATTGGTCGCGGATGCTCCCTGCAGGTGCACCGAGACTTTGCAACAGCTTGATTCGTTTTACCCGGAGGAGGAAGGCGTGCGAGCCAAGTTGTAGTGCCCCTCTGCCCCGCCAGGGCCCCGCCAGGGCCCCGCCAGGGCCCCGCCAGGGCCCCGCCCTCGCCGCGTCAACTGCTCGCCGCCCGACAGCCCCACGGGCCCCACGGCCGCAAAACCACACCTTAGTCGCCACCAACTCGGGGTGGCGTGGTCGAGGCCGTGTCCAAGGAGGGTGGCCGGCCGGCCGGGCGCCCCCGCCGCCCCGAGTGCGCACTAAAGGCGCGATCAACTTCGAAAGAAAGAGGCGGGGGAAAAAATGACGACCTGGTGTTTGAACCCGGGCCCCGGCGGTGTGAAGCGCATGACGCTCTCTCATTACCGAGGAATTGCAAACGCGGTTGTTTGCGCCGCCGGGCGAAATGGCGCGGCGGGCGAAGGCAGAGACCGTCTGGGAAATAACGCACGAAATGAAAAATGTTTTACGCGCCGTAATCAAGTAGTGTAAATATTTGTTGGCGCGCTCGCTCACTGGGGGCACAATCGCATGGGAGTCGGACCGCGACCGAGCCGAGCCGAGCCGCCTATTAGAATTACAAATTAATGAGAAGCGAGCCGCGTCCGCGAGGCGCTCTCTCTCTCTCTCTCTCTCTCTCTCTCTCTCTCTCTCTCTCTCTCTCTCTCTCTCTCTCTCTCTCTCTCTCTCTCTCTCGCTCTCGATGCAACTCGATGGCGACCCTCGCACGCAGAGCGTCCTCGCAGGCGCAGCATGGCGGGTGTGGCGTCCAGTAGGAACACTCTGCGACAGTCCGCCGCCCCCTGCCCGTCTAGCAGTCTAAATAATATGGAAGTCCGTCGGGCAGCCCTACACGCGCCAGGGCCGAGGCCGGGCCCGCCCTGCGGCGCGCCCAAACGACGCCCCAGATCATCCGCCGAATGGATGGGTGACTGGCCAGGCCACAACGACGTATCTTGCCAACGGGTTCGATCCGTAGATCGATTCGCGTCCGCTGTCCGGCCATTTGTCTCTCCGCCTTTTGCAGTGGCGCGAACCTGGACAGATTGAATATCGACGAGGCGATGCGCCGCAAAACAAAAGCAATCCAACAATCGAAACAAAAGTATCGCCGTGCCCCCCGGTGGCGCGGTGCGTCCCTCCTGGATGCATCCCGGGCCTCTTCGCTCTGTCTTTGTCTGGGGCGTCGAGGGCCCCTAATGGAAACGTAAACGTCCATGCAAAGTGAAGCCTCCCGTGGTCGGCTCGGTCATTCCCCGACAAATATAAAGCTCAGCCTGCAGCGCAATTAAAAAGGGATCGCGGAATGGAATAATGGGCCATTTAGGCGGCGGCGCATTCGCCAACACGACACGCTCCGTCTCTCTCGCACTCGGGGCGTCCCGTATGGGTGCGAGAGAGACGGAGCGACGGAAACGACTCTCGGAATGAGTCTCAGGGCGCAGCCAGGGCGCACGCCACCGCCGCCGCGGAGTGCGAGGGAGAAGTCAAAAGGCGCGGTTTCTTGCGCAGCTTTTTCCAGTGCGGTATTGCTCGCCCTGCTCCGCCCTGCACAGCCCTGCCGCCAACTCCCTCCGCGGTGCACTGGAGTCGCGAGCGCCCTTTCGCGCCGCAAGGGCCGCAAGACAAAAGGGCACGAAGGACCTTTCCGATTTGGCGCGCAACGACGGCGTTCTCTCGCTCTGTCTCTCTCGCACCCACGCGGCACGCCGGCACGCCCCACGAGTGCGAGAGAGACAGAGTCGGCCCGCAAACACGTAAACGCGGGGGTGGCCGTCAAACGGCGGCAGGGCTTTGCTTTTGACGTTGTAACGCCAGGCAATTGCACCGCGCGTGTGTTTGTGTGCGTTGTCTGCGCTCCAGTGTGCGTGCGTGTGTGTGTGTGTGTGTGTTTGCGCGTCGGCTTACTACACCATGGGAGCGGGCTTGCTTCCATTGAAAACCGCGGGCGTCAAGTGGCAAATATCGGGCAGGTGTCGGTCGGAGCCTCCACTGCGAGCCCTTCAAGCCGGCCGAGACCTGGCAGGCCATGGCACCACCTCCAAGCCGCTCCGCGACGCTCCGCGGGAATTCGTTCCATTCAGGGCGGGTGTAAAAGGAACCAATTGATTGTCCTCCTCTATTCGTTCGGTTTTCGAGAAGGGATGGTCGACACCGAGACACAGCAAACACGACGGCCCCGTGCAAGTGCATTTTCGCTCCGTTAATTAGTTTCCTGGTAACCGTCGATCCTTGCGACACACACAACGGGGGTTTGGCGACGCTTTCACAATGCGTTCCAGTTTGAGCGCGACCGGGCGAATTCAACTTGGTCGTTTTCTAGCTTTCGGGCGATGACTTGAACGCAAGACGGACGCGAATCGCCGTCCACCTCGAGTCCACTTCGTTTCGACATAACCATCATTGCGATCTGTGGCACCAGCGTGCGCTACACGCGTGCCTGTCCGTTCCTTTTATAAATAGGACAAAAAACAAAACAAACAAACACGAAATCGATCAAACTGGACGCGCGCGGTGACTCATTAACCAGGTACTGCCCTGCCGGCGATGACAAGCTTTCGAGATATCGATTACCGAGACGGCTGTGGCGGCTGTGGCGGCCGTGACGCGCTGTGACAGCCCGACGACCCACTACCGGCGTAACGACTCCGTCACGTGTCACGCCGTGTCACGATATCGCAGGCCCGATCGGCCGTCACGTCTTGTCTCGTCAGGTCGCGGCCACCGTGAGACCGACCGTCGACTTGTCGGGGAGATTCGCGGGCCGATGGCCGATCGAGTCGATGCCGATGGGGACCGCGATAAAAATAATAAGCCTGGCATTGCGCGCGCTCCACGTGCCCGTTCTGCTCGGCCACCTCCGCGTTGTCGTCGTCGTCGCCGAGGATGCGGTAATCCGGCACTTTACAGGACCCGATAAGCATCACCCTGGAGACGCACGCCCTGCCGGACGCCGACAAGTACCTGGTGGTGGAGCGCCGTCGGGAACAGCATGGCGGCCGTGGGGTCGCCGGCGACGGACGCGCCCGCGGCGGCGCCGCCGAACTCGTGGTGATCTCTCCTCAGCAGAAAGTCCCTGGCGGCATAGCCGGGGTGCGGTATTTGGTGGCCGTACGCGGCGCCCTGGAAGTGTTCCGGCGGCATGGCCGCGGCCGCCGCCGCCAGGGACGCCGTCGTGGGGGTGGCCGTCGACGACGCGTTGGCCGCGTCCATGGGCGGCGGGCTCATCTTTAGTCCCATGGAGGCCAGGTGGTGCGCCGTGTGGTGGTGGCCGTGCGTCGCCCCAGGGTCCATGAGCGTGTTGAGCATGCTGCTGCGCGGGGCCTCGGCGGCCTCGGCGGCCTCGGCCTCTGGGGGGCGCGGCGGCGCGAGGGGCGCAAGCAGGTGGCGCCCCGCCTCGGGAATGGTGACAGCCGGTGGGGCCCGGGGGCCTAGCAGCCCCACAGGCCGCGCGGACGGGTGGCCGACGTGGTGCTTCCCCTCAGGCTGCCCCTCAGGCTGCCCCTCAGGCTGCCCCTCAGGCTGCAGGGGCCGCACAGGAACACGGGCCGCACTGGAGCACTAGCACACGACACTTTTCACTGCATGGCACTTCACTTCACAAAACCACTTTCTTGAAGAACACAGAGGAAGCACAGTGACACAAGATGCAGGCCTTCGTACGCTGTCTGAGCACCCACATTCATGCACACGCTCACTCACACACGCGCACGCACACACACAAAACAAATTACGTCCACTCGTAAGCACGCACGCACAACGCACGCACGACGCGGTGCCCGAGGTAACCGCCTTGAGGCTCTCAGCGGGACTGACGACGGATCCTGGCGGGGTTGCGGGCCAGCCCCCTCCCGGCAGTCGGGCCAGGACGGCCAGGACGCCGGGCCTCCAGGCCACGCCTCCCGCTGCGGCGTGCTGCGCGGCCCACCGTCAGCACAGCGTCAGCACAGCGTCGCCCCCACCCCGCCCGCCCCCGACCGTCGGCCAACCGGAACCCGCGGCGCGCCGGCGGGGGGTGCTGGGCGGGGCCACGCCGGCGGCCTTGCTTCGACGCCGCGCCACCGGGAGCGCTGCCTCCGCGAGACGCCGCGCGACGCCGCGCCCGCCGCCAGCCGCGAGGACCGCGGCGGGTCACACGGGTAACCTGTGGCTGCTGCTGCTGCTGCCTGTGGCGCGGCAGCTCCTTTAGCGGGGCGTCGACGTGCGGCGCCGCGGTTGTCGCCGTCGTCACGACGCCTTCGCCCTGGACAGCTCGGCGCAGCTAGCGCAGCTAGGCCGTTCTCCGCCGACGCGATTTCGTTTTTTCCACGCGCGCCGCGCGCTGCGTGCTGCCAGGTGTCTGGGCCAAAATGAGCCCGTCTGCGAATAAAAGCTGACGACCACGACGTATTCGGGCAGCCGCTACTATGTATTCGCTTCGACGGCCAGGCTCGGCCGGGCTCGGCCTCGCGGCAGCACTTAAGCCCCTCCCCGTCGGTCCTGCCGGCCGGCCACACTGTAAGTGGCCGTTGCCAAACCGGGCGCGCTGCATAGCCTGCCGCGCTGCCGCAGCCTTCGCTGCCTGTACCAATTAGAAACGTTATTAGCTGCCGTAGTTGGAGACGCACATCTCGGGCTGCGTCCAGGGGGGCGGCTCTGGCGGCTCGCTCTCGGACGCGGTTAGCCTAGCGCCGCGACCGGTCGGGAGATCTCGGCGAACGCCTTGTGCTCCGCCGGCTCCGCCTCGCCTCGTCGATACAGCAGACTGCTTCCGAGCGTCGTTTTCGTCGCTCTGTCTCTCTCGCACTAATGGGCCGGCCCGTGGGCGAGAGCGAGACAGAGCGACGAAAACGACTCTCGGAATATGAGCGTGCCGCTCCCGCGAAGGAGCTCCGCTAGCGGCGCCGCGCCTCAGCCATTACCATTACCGTGTCAATGACGAGGTGGGATCGCCATTCACGATCCGCGCCGTTCGCGCCGCGGGGGGCGATTTAGTCCAAATTTGATCCAGGACGATAAACATTTAGTACTCAAGACGCGGTCTCCGTAAACAAGTTGTGGCGCAAGCGGCTTCTTCCTGAAATAACGGCGCCACAAAAGAAGAAGAGTCCGAACCGTCGAGGGTAGTTCACTAGAAAAGAGGCCGTTCAAACTACGACGCTGTCGAGGGTGGTTCAGTCAAGCCAGACCGCGGGGAGTGTTTCCGGTGTACCGGTGGCAGCGGCGACGGCGGATTACAGGGCGTTTAGCTCGCGCCGCGGGCTGCTGCCCTGTTAACTTGATAAGCCTCACTTTGTAAAGCGATCATCGAGGCCTCCGACGGCGTGTCGTATCGCCACCTATCGCCTCCCGCCAAGCCTCTCGGCCTGCACGGCGTGAGCGCGGCGTGAGCGCGGCGTGAGCGCGGCGTGAGCGCGGCGTGAGCGCGGCGTGTCCGGGCCAACAGCAGCAGGGCGGCGGTCGGCCCCGTGGAGCCCGTGGAGGCCCCCGTGGTCTTCTCGGTGGGGCTCAGAGGCGTCCTGCGGCGGCAGCGGCGTGCGGCCCCGCCCCGCCCCGCCCCGCCCCGCCCCGCCCCCGCAGGGACTGCTTATCCGCGGGGTTGTTTCGGGGCGTGGCGGGGCGTGGCGGGGCGGGGTGGGGCGGCCTGGCGGGGTGCGTGTCATTCGAGTGAACTCGCCTGGTCATCGCCTGTTATTTGATTGTATCGCTGCGCATCATCTCAATTTACACGCGGTTGCATGTTGGCGCGTGCCGCACACAAAGTAGGGGCGGAGGCGACGCGCTGTGGACCGCCGTGTTTCCGCGCCCTTGTTTGTTTGGCCGCGCAAAATTTGCTCCCGACTTTGCTGCGGGCGTCAGCGTACGCATCTTGAAATAACGTGTACCGAGAGGTCCCCCGCGACAAATCCCTCGGCGCGCAGATTCCGCCCCGTTTCCTTTCCTTTCCTCGAGCTCGTCGAGGCCGTTACGCACGTTGGCAGCCCGTTGCGCCTTGTCGCGGAGTGAACATCGCTTCCATCTCTCTCGCACTCACGGGGCGCGCTGGAGGGGTGCGAGAGAGACAGAAACTGCATCGCTCTCTGAGTCAGCCTGCCGTGTGCGCCCCTCGGCGGCCCCTCGCCGACCTGTTGCTCGGCCGGGCCCCGCCCACGCCGTCGCCGCCGTCGGGCCGCAACATGCGCCTAAAACGTGAAACTGCGCCACCGCCTTGTTCCCCGCGAACGTTAATGACGTAAATGGAGTCATTCGGCCTTTCAGCGCGTCCTTCGTCCTTCAAACGGCCAGCTCTACATGCCTTGCTTGCAGCGCTTGCAGCCGCTTGCAGCACATCAACGCAGCCACCCTCTGCCGTCACTGCTCCGCTCCGCGCGCAGCAGACGAATTCCGAACCGCATTCTCTCCGTCTCTCTCGCACCCAGGACCACTCCGTGAGTGCGAGAGAGGCAGAGCGACGAAAGCTGTGTCCCTGCGTACTCCCGTGCCCTCGCGGCCCTCGCGACTACAAGCTATAATTACCAGCCGACGGGGGGTCGCGCTGCCACGGCCTGCAGACTGACGTCGCTCTGTCTCTCTCGCTCCTATACGGAACGCCCGGTGAGTGCGAGAGAGACAGAGCGATGAGAACGACTCTCGGAATGAGTCCGCTGCCACTCCGCCGCTACCGCCGCCGACATGCTGCAGGGGCTGCACGGGCTGCAGGGGGACCGACGCGACCGAACGCGCACCGCGTGCGACAGAGACAGACAAAGACGGCACGAGTCAGGAAGTGGCTCCACAAACAGCCCTGGCCCAGCCGCCCTGGATGGCGGTGGGTCCATTTCGTGGGGCAGAAATAATAGACGAAAGGAGAGTTATGCCCGAACGGCGGGAACGACTGGAACGGCAATACGAATACCAATGGAGGACGACACGCAATATGGATCCCAATAGTGATGTAGTGCTTTCGTTCCGTGTCGTGGCCGTCGAGCCGCCTCGCCTAGCCTCGCCGGAGCGCGCGCGCCCTCCCACACCCCGGCCCGTTCGCCACCTTGGGCCGGCTTAGGCCCGGGGCCGCCCGGGGCCCCGCGGGGGGCAGTGGTGAGACGAACTAGGAGACGCGGGGGGCCCCCCTTGAGACAAAGCGCCCCGAGGCAAATACCTCCCGATGACCGCACGGCCGCACGGCGAGCACGGACTACGGACTGCCCCTCGGGAGCCCCTCGGATCCCTTCGGGATAGCCCCTCGGGGGACGCGGGGGCCCCAGCGGGGCGCAGTGCGTGCCCACGAGGTGCCCACGGCGTGCCCGGCGTGCCGTATGGGGGTGTAGTTGCGCGTTTCGGGAGCATGCCGGAGGCGGTGCGGGGCCGGAGGTCATCCCGGAGGAGGTCCAGCAGCCCGCCGCCTCGCACGCAGCCCGGCCGGGGCCGTAGGTCACCCTGGAAGAGGTCCAGCAGCCCGCCGCCCCGCACGCAGCCCGGCCGATGACTCACGGAGCAGAGCACGGCTCGATCCATCATCGGCAACGCATACACAACAGGCAGCAGGCACACTCGTCCAGAAATTATGCATATGCATAATGTGACTGGGGCAGGGCGGGCAGGGCGGGCCGTGCGGCATTCCAGGGCCCAACGGACGGGCTGCTCGTCCGGGAGCCCTATGGTGCCCTTTCCGGGTCGGGGAGGCGTCTGCCGAGTTGTCTCTGTCTCTCTCGCACCCCTACGGGACGCTCTAAAAGTGCGACAGAGACGGCACGACGCTTGGAATCCGCCAGCTGAGTTGCGGGCTGCGGCCTCGCACGCTCGAAACCTCATGGCGCAGTTTATTTGGGTACCCTCGGGCGGTTTCGGTCCTCGGTCACCCTTGCCTTCGGCCCTTCGGTCCTTGGGCCCTTCGGGTCGCCCTTTACTTCGGGTGGCTTCGGTGAGTCACCACCCAGGGCGCCCTGCCCGGCCCTGCCTGATCCTGTCGGGGGAATTCGAACCGATCGCATCTCGACAAATATGCTCGTTTGTCTCTACGATTCGTTGAATTGCCTCATAGTGGCATCGGAGGCATCGGTTTGTCAGGCGGGAATGTGCGGTGGGCGGGTGATTTAGGCCAGTTTCCCGCGGCTCACTGAGTTGTTCGGGTACCTCCTTTGGACAAAAGACACCCCCGTTTTGAACCAACCGAGAGGTCCTCTCTGCTTATCTTTAGGTGATAGGCAATGCTCATTGCGCGTGGATCGTAAATTAATGCTGGATGGATCTAGATGCGACCCCCTTCCCTCCTCCCCACAAAAAACAAAGAAAGAGTAAATGCACTTGGAATTGGTTATCACTAGGGGCGCCGGCGCCGCATTCGTCAGGAT